TCTAGAAACTAGCCCTCTTCTCTTAGGTTTAAAAACCATAGGTCTAGATTTTTGTTTCAAGTTGATGTATGTGACATATTCTATGTTTGATTGATGATTTTACCTATTTGATGGATGGTTTTCATGGATTGCGTGAGTTTGGATTCCATTCCATGTATTGAGCTTTTGACCAAGGAGGGAGAAAATCCCCTTAGAGCCCATTATTAGTGTCTTCGGGTTAATCCTATCATTTGTTGTATGGGTAATCCCTGAGGGAGTCGATTCAATCGATTTCCTAGCGATATATGAACCCCTATGTAGAATAGATTACCTTCTCATCCATCACTTTGCCATTCCGGGTCAATCCCGAGTGAGTCGATCTCATAACGGTAGTGTAGTGAATCGATCGAGCTAGAATAGTACTCCAAACGATAGAACTAGAGGGATTCAAGCTAAGAGAGCTCCACCACTTGTAATTAGCTAGGTTAGTGGTTAGCTAGGTTAGTTACTTTAGTTTTCCTAACCAATATCCTAGGTTGGCTAGATAACAAACCCTAAACGCAAAGTAAGGTAAGCCTAGATCCCCGTGGTTCGATAAATTTTATTGTTTCCTTACTCTATGCTACACCCGATCGTCGGTTATACTTGGCCTTTGATTGGGATGCATAGTTAGAGTCGAGCCACCTCGACACCCATTTTCACAGACATAACATGTTATTCTGATAGTGCTAGGGCCCGACCTAAAAAACCCAACGAGAAACAGCCTACACTGGTAACTGAAACAAAATCAACCAATCCTCAAACCATGAAACCTTCAACTATCCCTCACGACCCCAAAGCCAGTTTTCCCAAAAGCGAATTGTAGCCAGCGATGGAGGAAAACGAAGAAATTGACCAACCAAGTTGTGCTCAAGGAGCTTTCCCCCATCCCCCATAACAGATTTGGGATACGAAGTGAGCCATTTATCAATTTCGGCTCAAAATACTCCCAATGAGCATCGTCGGCCATTCCAAAGAGTGAAGCCCATGATTGGCCGTTGCCAACGGCGCCAGGCCAGGACCTTTCAGCGATAACCGACATAAGGACAAACGATCGAGAAAAAATCACGAAGAAGAGAAAGTATGAGAGAGACCGATGATAGTGTTTTACAAATTCATTAATACATAAAAAAATGGTTTTGAACCGGCATTTCGAAATCCATCTCGTCTTATTATTGTTGGGTCCGATCAAGCCATATTAGCAAGAGGTTTAAACCTAATGGTTAACAGGGCTAAAATGTTCAAAGAACCATCCACTTATAGCTTTCACAAAGGAGAAATTTTACAATGCTATATAGCATTGGTGCCAATATGAAATTGTACCTTTAACGTTATCGTACAACTTCAGATTGTACCTATACATTTTGTACAAATTCTTTTATAGTACAACTTGAACTTGTACTTTTATTTGATGGTACAACTTCAAGTTGTAAAGTTGTACCATAACATAATAATACAAATTCCTTCATGGTACAACCTAAACTTATACATTTAATGTTATGGTACAACTTTAAGTTATACATTAAAGCACCGATGCTATATAGCATAGTAGAAGTGCTCTGCACAAAGATATAATTGATTAATGGTAGTTCTGAAAATTAATACTAATTTTTGAATTCTACATCGCTTCTATATATTCATTACTCCAATGTAATATGCAATATTCAACCAAATAATATTTGAGTTGTGATTTTTTAGGGATCGCAATTTTGCTCATACCCATAAGCATTTTACTATCCAACCCATTTGAGTTGGGCATGACATGCAAATATATGGTAAATGGGTAGAGTTTGATGGGTTTATACTTTATTCATACTCATTTACTTGGGTTGATTTGAGTTTGTACCCATATTCATATGTGAATTATAGTTTGATATCTAAACTTAATAGATCTTTAGATTTAATACCTACCCGAGCTGTCAATTTTACTTTTCTTTTCCTTCATTTTTCTTTTGTGTGAGCAGCTCAAGGCAGGCGACAGGTCAGGCAGACATGGAATGCAGGAAATGTTTTTTGCTACTCCTTCCCAGAATACCCTTTCACAAATCTCTAAAGGCTGGAAATTTAAAATGGAACTGGAAGTTTTATTTTTCTGCTATTATATATGCAGGTTAGACCACCCACAACAAGGAGGGAAAATAGAGGAAAAGGATGGGAAGTCCCACAATATGGGGGGGGGGGGGGAGAAGGAAAAAGTGGGAGGGTTTTTCCTCCACTAGAAGACAAATGGATGAGGTGAAAAGGGGAAGGGGTGGGATTGACCCGATATATTTTGTTTTTTTTTATTGGTTTAATTATTTTGATTGAAGATCATTGTGTCTTATTGATCGACGACTATATTTTTAACCGTTATATTTTCCAATGACTATTTTTCCAACGATCATGTTTCCAACAACTATATTTTTGTCATTGATAATGACATATTTAATTAGTGATGAATAAATATGTTCAAATTAAAAAACATATCAGAATTTTTGTCTTTATTAATTATTATTACCTATATAAAGATAATGAACAAATTATCTAAATAAAGTGACGAGATCAACACTAAATTGAATTTGTAAAAAAAATACCACTTATCAATTACCCTATTTTTCCCTCCCGACCTATTGTGGCCAAACCTTTTTCCAAAATCCCTTTTCCCCACTTTTCCCACTCAAATTTCCCTCTTTTCCCTTCCACCATTGTGGATGGTCTTATAACTAAATGTTTATGTTACTCGCTCACCTCACGATATCATCTTGACCAGAATCTGCTTGGACCTGTTATAACGATAATGAGACGAAAAATATAGATAGAAGGTGTGTCTGAGAAGTGTTAAATAGTGTAAAGGTAAGTTTGATATGATTTATAGTGAAGATGTACGTTTGAGAAACATAACATGAAAAATATATACGCATTTTATACCTATAGACGAAGAAATGTAGATTAAGAAAGGAAGAAAGGAGAACCAATTAGGGACGACATATCATATACCTACTCCGCCCCACCTTCTTCATCGTTCAATCCAAACCCCATTAAAGCTCCCCACCTCCATTAAAGTTAGTCACTCACTCACGTCCTTCAATCCTTGTTTGGGTTCATTAAAAGCTTTTTTTCCACAACAGTCAAAACACATTATCAAGGAAACAAAATTTAAGTGTTTACCCCAATGAGGGAAATAAACTAACAAGACCGCCACGTGCCTAATAAACTAGATGTTTTTAAATTGTAACTGACTGTAACATCGCCATCATCCCCGATTCAATTGTTTCCACCGCAGCACCAACCGCCCACATGCCTGCAAAACTAACTTATAACTGCCCTCCTCTACTCTACAACTGTACTGCTGGCTTGTTTTTTAACTTTTAACTGCCAACGGAAAGGATCAAAGGACAGCATTGCAAAGACAGAGGACTGTTTTAAAAGAGACAAAAGGGGTCCCCACTCCCCAGTCCCTACCCCAGTATTAAAAAGAAAATATATACATATATTAAAAATTCCCAACATGGTTATTTTCTTTATTTTTGGAATGTTAGTTGTAAAACGATTTTCCCACAGCGGAGCAGACAAATCATTGACACATCCATTTATTCAATCCTTGCCAGCACACCAACACCAAAAACAAATTTGGATGGAATATATATATATAAAGTGTGTGTGGCTGCTGCACTAATCTTATAGTACCACCACTCAACTCAAAACTAATAATATGCAAAAGCCACATTCTAATCAGAGAACCCCTAGTCCACACAAAATCATGATATGACATGATATAATTGCCTCTTAAAATAGTGATTCAATTCAACCACTAATTTCTCTCATTCTAAAATAACACCACAACCAATGTGCTTGGAGAGCTTGCTTTATCTAAGGAGATTACGATTTAAGCCGATGTCAACCTAATATCCTATTTAACAGCTTTTATCGTAGTAAATTTTACCTCTGTCCTATAAAAAGATTGCAACATATTCTGGTAATGCCCGCAACAATATGTTCATACACTAGTTTTCCCCCTTTTAACATAATTTCATTAAGCAAACGTTCTACTCCGTTCATCATCATCATCAAACATCTAACTCGATTTCACTTCACTGGAAACGACAGCGAGAATAAGATATCCACTCTTTTTTTCCAACCAATCCAATCGTGTCTCCGTTTGATTTAAGTCATTAACAATACAATACAAATTAGTGGGCTAAGAAGTGGCTATTCCATATATTATATACACACAATAGGTAGTAATCCCAGCCTCGTAATTAGGGGTGGAAATCGGTACGGTATCGGTATCCCAATACCAAATACCAAAATCCCGAATACCGAATTACACCTTGAAATCAATCCCAATCCCAATCCCTAAATAATTTCGGTATCCCAATCCCAATCCCTAAATATTTCGGTATCCCAATCGGTACCTCGGTATCCCAATCGGTATTATCAAATACAAAATTAATTACCTTTGTCATTAATAATTAAATATATAAATTAGATTTTATTGTTTAATTTAGGGAAAAAAGACTAAGCAAAGAGTCTTGAGTTTCCTAGAGCTAACATCTCAAGTTTTTGTAATTGGTAATCTTTAATTTGATGAATTTGAGGTTGAGAAACGACTAATACTAGTGTGAAATAGTTATATAATGATCTATGTATAATTAAATGACACTCTTGGTGGTTGAGGGTCGCGTAGTAGTGAATGAGAGAGTCTAGTTGAGATGATAAAATACACACTAGCTTATATTTCGATATTGATCAGTATTTCGGTATATACCGATCCCAATCCCGTAATCCCTAATACCGAATAACAATTGAAACTCAATCCCAATCCCAATCCCGCAAAATAATACGTGTATTCGGTAATACCAAATTTAGACAAATTCGGTACGGTATTCGGTATATCTCAAATACCGGTACCAAACTTCCAGCCCTACTCGTAATGATGCGGTTATAGTTGACAATCTATCATGATTCCAACAACCCACATAGGTTTGGGAAACGAAGGCAATACCAGCAGTGAACTGAACTGAACACAGATGATGAGTTATCACATCTTAAATTATGTGAAGAATAAATTGTTGCTACAACTCGAGAAGAGAGCAATAAGGTGGGACAAAAAATAGAAACCAAATGGAAGGAAGATTAAACTCTCACCGTCCCATTAGAGGCACAATCTTCGTTCAACAAAAGACATGATATGAGTAGATATATCTATATATGCAATAAATCCCCCTCCCTCCCTTCTCTCCTCCGTTTTTGTGTAAGTACAACTTTTTCACCCTGGTCTTGCTTCAATCATTCCACTGATGTCACAACCCTCTCACCCTGTAATGGCAGGGCTCTTGCTTCTTCTTCTTCTTCTTCTTGTTCTATACAACGAGAGAAATAAATTATTTGCATTATACTAAGAAGATTGAGGAAACCCTCCCACTACTAAACGCCATTGATATATAGCTTGCTTTCATCCCGCATCACTTCTTCACCCCCCAAGCAATCATACCATTCTCTTTCTCTTCTGCATTGCTAAAGGGGAGCACCATGCATGGGAGGGAGGAGATAATTTCTGTCTGAATTTCCAATCTCGTAACTAAATTTTCCAGCAAAATGAATCATCGCATACTGCTAAAAAGCGGCTCGCCCAACTGCTGCAGGCATTCTTCAGGGTTGGAGTAGAAGTAATCCTCTTCCTTAGGCCTGTCTGGGATCACTAGCCGTTTTCCTGGGCTACCCATCCTTGTGGCATGTGCTTCCTTCACCGCATCCGAAAACTCATCCCAACTCAGTGACCCATTCGTATACCGGTCTATCAAATCTACCAACAGCCTTCTCTCCAGTAATATCGTCTTCTTGAACCCAAGAAATCTGTAAGCCATATTACAAAGGTGAAACAAAAAAAAATTCAAACCTAGATCAGAAAAAATGCACCAACCAACACCAAGTTGCATTAAGATTTAAACAAATGCCATTGAGAACTAGAGATCATCTGAATCGACGCAACAAATTATCTAAAGAAGACTTGTCACAACTATTGTTCCAGAACCAGAATGAAAAGTTCTGCCTGGTATTCGGGGGCATACACAAGGTTTTGTCCTCTGATTTGGACAAAATATTAAACTTGGATCCTATATCACGACCGGAGTTTGTACTCCAAAACCAATTATCTGAAGCCAAACAAAACCCCAGGCATTAGTTTGGAGGGACTACAAACACACGGGGAAACAAAAATATATCATATGCAGAAAAAAAAAAAATACCTTCTGTGGCCTTCAACAACTTTGGCCATGTTTCCGTCATAGGTGGGCACAAATATGTCACTTTCCAATGAAACGAGATAATCCAACGCTGCCATCTGGGACGAGTGATTCTGAAAGAACCTCAGATCTGATGGTTCCAAGAGTGTTTCCTTTCTCACCTGTTTTATAAAAACATAAGGCAACTGGCTAAGGACCAACCACTCATGCAGCAAGACCAGGTTACCAGCTGATAGAACAATTAGCTACTCACCAGCTTTGGAAAAGCTGCTGCAAGGCTTGCCATTCTCCTCTCCGCGCCATATATTTCACCAGCAGCTATGTAGATCTGCATGCTTGGGTCAATATCCAGTGCCCTCAGAGTAAGGGCAGTCTCCTCGGGGGTCAAAGGGCACAATCCATCTTTCCTTTTAAGATCGGAATTTATTACCTTCTCTTTCCACCAAGGATAAGCATATCTGTTTCAGGGAATCAAATGAAAACGACTCCCCAGTTAGATTAACTTTCAGGCTGAGACAATGTTGGCCATAGTAGCCAATATAATTTGTCCAAGGCTCACCTCATTCTTGTTAATTCTTCCACTTCTTCCATATTACAGCCTTGAGTACAACCAGAGAATGCCAACATATCCATTTCATATCTAAGGTGAAGTACTAAGAAAGGACCATTTTGCCTGAGAAGTCTTATAACTCTTTTACCCAGCTCCTCTATTTGAGAAGTGAATCTAAGAGCACCGAAATTCACACGACAACGTAGCTTCTGAATCTCTAGAGGCTGATTATTGTTTGCTAGTCTTGTATCTGTTCTGTTAAGATGAAGGACTTTGTACTTCTGTATCAAAGGAAGAATCTGTAGGCCAAGAAAAGAGAAAATGAATAACCAAATACTAATAATAATAATAATAAAATGAAAACAGAAACTATAAAATGAGCAATTTATTTGGGATCCTTATCAAATTTGCAAGAATAAGTGGAGGGGTATTGCATATAAGGGTGATGCAATATCACAAGTAACAAGCAATAACTTCCTGACCTGGTCGCTGTAGTAGGATATATCTGACCAACTAATTGGTGCCATCGAATAACTCATCCCTAGTTCCACTCTCCTCTTAAGACGGGGAGGCAAGGCTTTCAATATTCGGACCTCATCTCTGAGTGATGTGATGAAATGATCAACATCAAATATGTCCTGGAACTCACTGTCGATGACAAAACAAGAACAAGTTATGCAGCAGATTGAGCTTTTCAATGGCAGAGGGGGAAATATTTATCCTTTCAGTCAAAAGAAACTGGATTCAGATGTTATTCTAAAAGAGCAGTGAACACACCTGGGATCAGCCCAGAAGGATGTCTTGTCCAACTCTGGGACAATAAGAGTGACATTCAAGTATCTTGCTATGGCAACCATGTCACATATCTGCAAGACATAGGAAGCCGAAAACGCAAAAGATATGTGGTAGTCAGTAAAACTGCCCATAATAACAAAGATACAGACCAAGGAAACTTGCTAATCACTCACCGCAGCTCGCATTTGATTCAGACCTCCATTGCACGAAACCACAAGATATCCGTTGTTCCTATAGACCCCTGGATATTGAAGAAGAAAAAAAACAAAGTATGAGTTAAACTCTGAAAGAATTGCCTTCACCGACAGGGGAAGTGAAAACAACTTGAGTGGTTGGATCAGCAGCAAGAGACAGAGTTAGTAAAGATAAACAACTGCAAGAAAGATAACCAGAAGGTAGAAGGTATTAGCGAGCCTTTAATGGCCGAAATGACTTCGGCAATGGGATACCTTGCAGCAGTAAAGCTTGGCCACATAAACAGCCCACTAATAACCCACCACAGTCATGTGGTTGCTAGCGATGCATGTATTACTAAATGATGATGACAATGTCGAAAGCATCAGATTCAGGGGTAACATCAAGACACTACATTTCCATGACATCATTCTAACCAAGTGCAAAGACTCAATAATTGAAGCGAATTAGTTAACAATTGACCAAACCCAATTCACCAAAAAAAAAAAAAAAAAACAGCGGGTCAAAGAAAACAAACATCTTCTCAGAATCTGGGATCGCAAGTGCCCTCTGGTATCCAGAGTTCGACCGACACAAAATATAATTAGCTTGAGAAGAAGAGTAGTTAAAACAAACAAAAAAAAGAAAGGCTCACTCTTGGGAGGCAAAACGCGAGCTGGAACTCCCGGAAGCTTCTCCTGCAAAAGGGAAGCTGACTCGTGGGAGAAACAGGAAGGCCATCCTTTCAAAACCCTAGGCCCCCACAGCTCGCCGATGGTGGTCAATTGAACGATGCAGGTCCACAGCAAGACGGAAGTTGTTGCGCGAAACATCCAGACCTTCATATTAGACTTGGAAAAACTCTTCTTCACTATCTCCACTCCATTCACCAACCGTCCTCGCATCTCTCTCTTCTCTCTCCCTCTGCCTTGTCCAATTTCAACACACTTTTTCTCAGTCCTCTCAATCCTGCACATTTCTCCCCATACACAGTCGTCTCTTGTATCCCCACCTGCAAGCTTTCGCCTGCTCGAACAGGGACTGATACCGGACAATGCAGGATCCTCAACGGTAGCTTGGACCCCGTCCCCCTGATCTTACAAAAGATCCGAACTACGGGGAAATGCGACACTGGTCTTCTTTCCCCTTGGGCGCCCGACTCTCCACAGCCTTATCCGAACCTCCGAGATCCGGAATTCCCCAAATACGGAAAGCAAATCAAAACCGAATTTCAAAAGAGAAACGGAACACGTGACTGGTACCTTCAAAAACACGCCCAACTGTGGAATCGCTAATTCGCAGGAAGGCAAAAACCCTAATCCCACTCCCACATTAGCCCGGAATCGTCGACGGTGAAATTTTCAATTCGATTGGCGGGATGAATCTGGAGGAAGATTGGGTTGGCGCATCGATCTCGGGGAAGAATATATATATATATATCCGTATGATAGATTAAATCAGAACGAACGAGCTCTCAGTTGTTCGCCTGAAGCTGTCGCCGCCGATCGGAAGGGAGCATCAAAAGAGAGCGACAGAGAAAATACAAAGAGAAGGAGACGGCGAGGAAGAAGGGGACCGAACGAGCGAGAGATGGGAGCGAGAGAGAAAGAGAAAAGGAAAGAGAGAAGAAGAAGAAGATGTTTTATTTTATTTTTTTAAAATTATTTTGGCAACTCTCTCTATAACTATGCGGTGTGGTTGGGATAAAGCTATGGTGTGAACTGTGAACCGTATACCGCAACGGAATTCACTAAACTCGCATTTTCCTACAGAGCTCTGTGGCTTGTACTTAATCTCGCGCCATTGTCGTCTCTTCTCGTCTTCGTCGACACGCCGACAAAATATCGCGATACGTTGAGAACTTCTCGTTTGCTTCTCCTTTCCTTACTTCCCTTTTTTTTATTCTTTCTTTTGATGCCGTATGTATCATTTCCATGAGGGGGGATTTTGGGGAAAACAAATTTTTAGAGATCCATAAAAATAAATAACTATGTTTGTTTTTTGTTTGTTTTCTTTTTTCGGGTTTATGAGTTATGACCCCGTTAATGAAGTATGTGCTGCAGTGAACATTGTAATTAATGAATGGGGGATCCAAGTTAATTAATTAATTGAATTTTTTTTCTTTCATTGAATAATAAATTAAATTTCTCTAGATATGTTTAAGATTTTCTTCTTTACTAGAGGAGAGGTTAGGATTGTACATGGGCGATGGGTCGTGCTTGGGCCGGCACGACACGGGCACGCTTCGTGCCCATTTATTTCGTGTCGTGCTTGGCACGGCCCGTCAGTTTTCATGTCGTGCCATGCAAGCCCATTTGTTAACTTTGTTAGACCCGGCCCAGGTCCGGGCACTGTTTGAATCGTGTCGTGTCTATTCGTGCCTGTGCCATGCTCGTATTCGTGTTTAATGAAAAGGACGAAAACACAAGAGAGAATGAAAAATAAGGTGAAAATTGGACGGAGGAAGATAGTATTAATCGATAATGTTTGAGAAAAGTAACAAATCAGGGGGGAAAAGAAAATTGGAAGTATAGCGAGTGTGATTTGGCTTTGTTGAATTCTTTATCCATTTTTACTTATGTTAGTAATTACGTATATATCTTTATGACACTTCTAACAACAAAAAATAATTATTTTTCTACTTGTGTTTTGTAATATTTGAACCTATAATTCTTTTTATATTTATTTTCTATCAAATAAATATTATTTCCGTGCCATGTTCGTTCTTATACTCAATAAAGTCTCAAAAATATTAGGCCTGACACGACCCACTTATATACCGTGTCGTGCCCGTGCCCATGAAGTTTAGGCCCGGCACGGCCCATAAATTATTTGTGCTCTTGCCAGACTGGCCCATTTATTTCGTGCCCGTACTCGTGCCGTGCCGTGCTAGCCCGTGGGCGGCACGGTCCGATGCCCACGTACAGTTGGGATGCTAACATCCTATTTGTTAGTAGGATGCTAACACGTGACTAGATAGGGTGACAACTAGTGGCGTAGCCAGGATTTTGTTTAATGTGGGTCCACCTAAAAAAATATATGATAAAATAGTTTTTTTAATATAATCTTGCTGTTTGAGTCTAACTGAGAGAAGGAGGGAGACTCAGGTCAAAGAGGGGTGAGATGAGTAAGCAATATGGTCTTCTTTCCTTTAATCGAAACGATGTTACAAACAATATAAGTCGGGACAGAGGGAATTTTTAGAGAGAGAGAGTTCGTCTTTCTAGAGTGAGAGTAAAAACGTGATCCCCTCACCCACCGGAGTAAATGCCGTATTTATAGGCTACATTGTGGCATTCAATGAGCTCAAACTGTACTTAGTATCACCCCCTGTATTGACCGTCCCCGGGCTTAATGAAAAGTTGTTTCTGTACTTGTCTGTGTCCGCAAGAGCAGTGAGCGCAGTGCTAATCTCGCGGAAAGACGCGCAAACAGAAATGCCAATCTACTACACATCGCGAACATTGGCAAGCGCGGAAACAAGATACTCCCCAATCGAGAAAGTCGCTCTAGCGCTAGTAAGCGCATTGCAGAAGCTACGCCCATACTTCCAATCACATGTGATCACAGTTCTCACAAACCTGCCGCTCAAAAGAATTCTAAGCTCGATGGAAGTGTCAGGTCGGATGACAAAATGGGCAGTCGAGCTATCAGAATATGACATCCAATACGCGCCGAGGCCAGCAATCAAGGCTCAAATCCTCACCGATTTCATCGCGGAAGGAGTGACGTTGTGCGACAAACCCGACGGAGTGTGAGAGGTCTACGTCGACGGGGCCACTAACAAACATGGAACTGACATAGGCGTGGTCATAAAAATGCCCGCAGGAGCTACCCACGAAATCGCCATCCGCTTCAAAACTCTTAAGACTAACAACGCTTCTGAGTACGAAGCAATACTGACGGGACTAACGACAGCCAGAGACCTGGGCGCGAGAGCGGTGCGAATCCTTTCCGACTCCGCCATCACCGTCAACCAGCTAAACGGAATCTTCGACACCAAAGAGGACACACTTGGCCAATACATCGAGCGCGTTAGAGTGCGAGAGGCGCAGTTCGAAACAGTGACATACGTCCAAATACCGCGAGAAGAAAACATGCACGCAGACGCACTCTCCAAACTTGCCACGACGACGGACTTCGAATCAACAAGGATGGTCTCCGTACAAAAAGAAGACCGAGACATGCCGCACATTGTGAATACAACACAAAGAGAAGAAAGCAAGGATTGGAGAACGCCAATTATCGCGTTCTTGACAAATGGCACAGTCCCAGAAGACGCAAAGGAAGCTTGGGCACTCAGACAGAAAGCCCCCCGCTGCACCCTCATTGATGACACACTCCACAGACGCTCACACTCGGGCGCCTACCTAAAGTGTGTAGGACCAAACGAGTCGCAACTGGTCGTGCGAGATATACATGAAGGCATCTGTGCAAAGCATTGTGGTGCGCGGAGTATGGAACGCACCATCCTACTTCAAGGATATTAATGGCCGCGCATAAAGAAAGACACAAAGAATTTCGTTGAGCAATGTCACAAGTGCCAGCTTAATGCGCGCCAACATCATACGTCGTCTACAGAGCTCCAAGGAAACATCAGTCCATGGCCCTTTTGCACAATGGGGCGTGGACCTACTGGGATCATTTCCCTCCGCGAAAGACAAACGCAAATACATCATTGTCGCGGTAGACTACTTCACCAAATGGATCGAAGCAAAGGCCCTGGTATCGATTACAGCCCAACAAGTGGTTCGTTTCTTGAAGAACAACGTGCTCACCAGATTCGGGGTCCCAAACTCGTTCATATTCGACCACGGCAAGCAATTCGACTGTGCAGAAGTTATAGACTTCTGCGATGAAATGGGTACTGACTCACTCCTACTGTCACTCTAGAAATTGGCCAAGTGTAACCACTTCCTAAAGTGTAGTATAGCGGGTTTGGGTTTTAATGTCAACCCGGGTCCTAGATTTGATGACTACTCGGTGAATTCTTGTTATCTAGCAGTGAAACTTTAGTGCAAGTCCAAATTAACAAACAAACGAAGCAAGTTAAACGGTTGTTTTCAAGTCGAGAGAGGTCACCCGGATATGGTTCCCCCTAGACTGCAGTTAAGCCGGATTGCAATGTACCAAGTTCAGTTTTCATGAAAGTAATACTGCGGAAGGTTCTTAAACAGTCTGAAGTCTCGACTAAAGGTCTCCAGACCCTCTCAATCTGAATCTCCAGCGGGCGACTATGTGTAGCTCCTCCGCCTTGAATGTTGTGCTGCTCACAGATCTTGACCTAACTAACGAGCGCTGAGAGATGGCCACTATCAAACTGGTCGCGGCGAAGGCGCAGATTGCGAGGTAGTACAACGCCAAGCTGGTTCCACACAACATTAAAATGGGAGACCAAGTGTTGAGGTGCAACTTCTGCACTGAAGCAAAGCACGGGAAGTTTGCATCAACATGGGAGGGCCCCTACTTAATTCGGGAAGTCGTTGGCGCCAACACATTCAAAGTAAGCGCTCAGTGGGGAACCAATCTCGCGGACGTGGAACGCCCAAAATCTGAGAAAGTATCACAGGAGTTTGTAACCACTACTTACATATACCCATGATGTCCTATTTATGCAATGATAATTTCTTCTTTCCATCCCACCATGCAACAATGGGGGCAACGCAACGCGTTGTCACACACGACCGCTATGACAATAGCAATGTAACCACGCAGTCATGAACTACGCTAAACAATAGAGCACGCATATAATTTGCAAGAAAATCTTGCAACCATGAGTTGCAACAAAGAAATAAATAAAGCTACAAGTTAGCAACGTAACCGCGCGATCAAGAATCGCGCTAACAAATTTAAAAAGACACACCTTACGCAGCCATGTGCCACGAGGAAACAAAGGAAACGAAAAGTCCGTGAGATAACTTGACATATATTTGGATTCAAAGCAGGGATATGAAAAAACGCAGGCAAATATTGAAAGGAGCTACAAAGACAAAGAGAAAAACAGCTACAAAAACAGCTAGAGAAACACACCGCGACCACACTTAATCGATAACAATATTCTCAACATCTTCAGTCGTGGCCGTCGCTGCGCCTTTACCTCCAGCTGTAGCAGCCGCAACGCCTCCTTCCTTGGCCACCCCTGCCGCGCTAAGCTCTTCCTCCTCTGTCTCGGAAATCCGCCTCAAGAGATTCTTCTCCCCAGCCACTGCTGCACATGGCGCGGGTATTCCAACGGATCCTGGGGTTATCTGGCCGCACCTTCTTGCGGACCGCGATTACGGTCTTAGTCATGGCATCCGCCAACAGCTTGTCGAATGCAGTTGAAGACTTATATTGGCGGACTACATTAGTCTGTGTTGTGCGCACGACTTCTTCCTTGGCCACATCATGAAGGACCAGATCCGCCTTCTCCTTCTGGAACTCCTCGCGGACCTGCCTCAGCATCTTCGCGTGATCGGTCTCCAGACGCTTCTTCTCCTGAGCCCGTTCATCCTCCAGCCGCTTCCGCTCACTTCGAACTCCCTCCTCAGCTCCTCCCGAATGAAAGCCCGCTCCTCTGCCCGGTCCTGCTCCTTCGCGGCCTCCACATCATCCGCCAGCTTGCTTTGCAGGACTCCCAGCTCCTCCATAGCCTCGTTAGCCCGGTTAGTAGCCAACTCTGCCCGACTCTCCGCACTGGCAAGTTTGCCCTCCAGCTGAACAGCTCTGGACATCTCGGCCTTCAAAGCCGTGGTGTCCCAAGCCCGCTCCTGTTGAGCGCGGAAGGTCGCCAGCAAGCCCTACACAAAAATGGCGCAAAGGAACTTAGAAAAAATAAAA